GACAATCCTGTACAATAAAGGAACTTCTAGAGGCATCACCATCTCTGACATGAAGCTCTATTACAGAGCTACAGTAATGAAAACAGCTCGGTACTGGCATAAAAACAGTTGACCAATGGAATCAAATAGAAGACCCGGATATTAATCCACACACCTATGAACACCTGATTTTTGACAAAGAAGCCAAAATTATACAGTGGAAAAAAGAAAGTGTCTTTAACAAATAGTGCTGGTACAAATGGATGTCAATATGTAGAAGAATGAAAATAGATTAATATCTATCCCCATGCACAAAATGCAAGTCCAAATGGATTAAAGACCTCAATATAAATCTGACCATTCTGAACCTGATAGAAGAGAAAGTGGGAAGTAGTCCTCAATGCATGGGCACATGAGACTACTTCCTAAATATAACTCCAGTAGCACAGACACTGAGAGCAACAATAAATAAATGGAACCTCCTGAAACTGAGAAGCTTCTGTAAAGCAAAGGACACTGTCAATAAGACAAAAAGGCAACCTACGGAATGGGAGAAGATCTTCACCAACCCCACATCAGACAAAGGTCTGGTCTCTAAAATATATAAAGAACTCAAGAAACTAGACATTAAAATTCTAAATAAACCAACTAAAAATGGGATACAGAACTAAACTGAGAATTCTCAACAAAAGAATCTCAAATGGCCAAAAGATACTTAAGGAAATGTTCAACATCCTTAGCCATCAGAGAAATGCAAGTCAAAACAACTCTGAGATACCATCTTATACCTGTCAGAATGGCTAAGATAAAAAAAAAAAAACACCAATGATAGCTTATGCTGGAGAAAATGTGGAGTAAGGGGAACACTTATCCATCGCTGGTAAGAATGAAAATTGTACAACCACTTTGGAAATTATTATGATGGCTTCTCAGAAAATTGGGCATCAACCTACCTCAGGATCCAGCAATACCACTATGGGAATATACCCAAAAGATGCTCAATCATACTTCAAAGGTATTTGTTCAACTATATTCATAGCAGCATTATTTGTAATAGTCAGAACCTGGAAACAAACTAGATGCCCCTCAACTGAAGAACAGATAAAGAAAATGTGGCAAATTTATACATTGGAGTACTACTCAGCAGTAAAAACAATGACATCTTGAATTTTGCATGCAAACTGATAGAACTAAAAAACACTATCTGGAGTGAGGTAACCCAGACCCAAAAAGATGAATATGGCATGTACTCACTCATAAATGGATACTAGCTATAAACAAAGGATATTGAGCCTATAGTTCATGATCCTAGAGAAGCTATGTAATAAGGTGGACCCTAAGAAAAACATATATAGATCCACCTAGAAAGCGGAAACAGACAAGATTGCCTGACAAAATTGGGAACATGGGCGTTACGGGGAGAAGGAAAGGGATGAGGTGAACTTGAGGGAATGGGATAGTCCAGATGGAGGAAGGATAGAGATGAGAGCAAGGAAAGACATACCTTGATTGAGGGAGCCATTATTGGCTCTAGAGAAATTGCCAAGAATTCACAAGGATGACCTCAGCTAAGACCCTAAACAATAGAAGAGTGGGGCCCGAACTTGACTTGTCCTGTAGTCAGACTGATGAATATCTTAATTATCACCATAGAACCTTCATCCAGCAGCTGATGGAAACAGAGGCACAGACCCGCACTGGATCACTGTACTGAGTTCCCAAAGTCCAGTTGAAAAGTGGGAGGAATGAGATTAATTATTACTTTGGTATTTCTGGCCTTAGCACGGCTAGTTTCTAGCCAGTTTTTCTAACTTAACTATCCAACTTCTCTTTATCTACATTTTTCCTCTGGGCTTTTTACCGTTCTTTATTCTATGCATCTTTCTTTCCTTCTTACTCTATATGTGACTGTGTGGCTGGGCATCTGGTCCTTGGAGTCCTAGCCTCCTTTTCTCACTCCTCCTCTCTTCTTCTTTTTTTATTCTACCTATCAGTTTTGCCTGTCCTTTCTCCTGCCTAGCTTTTGGTCATTCAGCTCTTTATTAGACCAATCAGGTGTTTTAGGCAGGCAAAGTAACACAGCATTACAGAGTTAAACAAATACAGCATAAAACAATGCAACACATCTTTGCATCCTTAAAACAAGGATTGCACAGTATAAGTAAATGCAGCACATCTTAAACACGACATTGTAGAAATATATATATACATATAATCATATATATGATTAATTATCTTGTAGAATATTGTAGAAATATCAGTGAGGAATTATCTTGCTGTTGCATACTTGGGAAATTGCCCTGGAAGAAAGTAGACTGAGCATGAGGCAGGGAACAAGCTAGTAAGCAGCATTCCCCCATGCTTTGGTTCCTGTCTCTAGATTTCTGCCATGAGTTCCATTCCTGATTTCCCTCAACTGATGGGCTGTGATGTGGGTGTGTAAGCAAATAAGACTTTTCCTCCCCAAGTAGCTTTTGGTCATGGTGGGTCCTCATTAGTGTTCTATTGATGTGCATGCACCATGACAAAGGAAACTTGTTTAAAAGAAAGCATTTAGTCGCTGGGCAGTGGTGGCGCACGCCTTTAATCCCAGCACTCGGGAGGCAGAGGCAGGCAGATCTCTGTGAGTTCGAGACCAGCCTGGTCTACAGAGCTAGTTCCAGGACAAGCTCCAAAGCCAAAGAGAAACCCTGTCTCGAAAAAAAGAAAGAAAGAAAGAAAGAAAGAAAGAAAGAAAGAAAGAAAGAAAGAAAGAAAGAAAGGAAGGAAGAAAGCAAGCAAGCATTTAATTTGGGGATTGCTTACAGCTTCAGAGGGCTTCAGTCCATTATCATCATGGCAAGGGACATGGGAGCAAACAAGCAAAAATGATACTTGAGAAGTAGGTGAGTGCTTTACATCCTGACCCTTAGGAGTTACGCAGAAAAAGAGAGACAGTGAACCTGGTGTGGGCTCTTGAGACCTCAAAGCTCACCCCCAGTGTTCTAACTAGTTTTACGTCAACTTGACACAAGCTAGAATCATCTGAAAGGGACTCAATTGAGAAAAGGCCTTCATAATTCAGCTGTAGGGCATTTCCTTAATTAGTGATTGATTTGGGAGACCCCCGCCCATTGTGGTTGATTCTATCTATAGACTGGCAGTCCTAGGTTCCATAACAAAACAGGCTGATGAGAAAAACTATAAGCAACACCCCTCCCTGGAATCCGCATCAACTCCTGCCTCCAAATTCCTGCTCTGCTCAAGTTCCTGCCTTAGCTTCCTTCAGTGATGAGCTGAATTGTAATGTAGAAGTGTAAGTCAAATAAACCTTTCCTTGACAACTTGCTTTTTGGTCCTGGTGTTTCATCACAGCAATAGAAAACCTAAGACACCCATTAACACACCTCCTCCAACAAGGACGTACCTATTCAAGGACACACCCCCTAAACATCCCTAAAGAGTTTATCAGTTGGGAACTAAGCATGCAGATATATCTGCCTATGAGGGCCTTTTTCATTTAATCCACGAGTTGGTGTTTATCACAGCAACAACCACAAAAAAACTGGAATGAGAAGTTTGGGGAGAATTCTGCACAGCACAAATAGAAAATTGTTGGGATCTGTGTGGCTTAGTTTGGGGTCGGCAGATGAATGCTTGTCCAATGAGTTTCCATGAAACAAAGTCCACTGATCAGGTCTCCCTCCTGGCAAGAACCAGTGGGCCTTAGTAATTTTGAGTACACAGAGTATTTCTGGGACCACACAGACTGCACACTCTCTTCTCTCTCATAATGTTGATGATTCTCTTGGTGGTTTTAGTTTCACTTTGTCAGTCATGCATGAGACAGATGTCCAGATTACAGTTTTTTCTCAAAGATTTTCTCCTAAAATTCTTTAGGAACTGATGCTTCTCATGTTTCTTATCTAGAAATAACAGCTGTTACTCCAGACCCTGGGAACTTTTCTGATTCAGCGCTAACAGAATCAGAGGCAATAAAAGTTAATAGGCACATCAATTATGACTCCCAACTCTGGGAAAAGGCAGACATTAGTAATGGTGTGGCATGATGGAAAAAGAGTGCCCAATCAAATTCGCCCTTTGTAGAGAGGCTTAGCATTGCAGGGCCCTTTTACAGGACACAGGAACAGTTAGGAACATACAAGCTCACTCTATGCAAGCAGCTTATGCCAAATCACCCCTATTTCTGTAAATATGCTTTGTTGTGTCTAGTGATATTGTTGTTCTTGGGAATGTGTGCCTATGTCTATCACCGTTTAGCTTTTATAAAGACAGGATGTGCCTGGTTCTATATTTAGCCAAACTCGAAAAACACTGAGCATTGTTTTTGGTTTAAAAGTTGTTTTGAACTGAAAGTTTGGAAACGCACTTTTGTTTTTGAAGTATAAATGAAGACAGGTCAATCTATTCAGAACTTCCACTTGTGTGAAATTCATCTGATGGTAAGATGTTTCTGTGTGCCCATGCTCTTAGCCCTGGCTCAGGATTTGAGCCCAGCTGCAGCAGGACAGCAGAAAATGCCTAGCACACCAACATGAAGTGGAGAGCTATGCTGAGGACTCACCTTGGCAGAAAGCGTGAGCGCAAGGCAGCCATGTTCACCACACCCCAATCCTGGACCACTTTCCACTGAAAGTCACAGGGGGTCAGAGGTAGGGAGCAGGACTGGTCCAGCTGGAAATTGTGATGGGAAATAGTGAGTAGATAGAATTAAGAATCAGAACAGAGAGAGGCTAATGAGACAGACACGGATTAGATGCATTAACCAGGGGCTTGCCTAGAAAACAAGCAGGTGATTTCTGTGACTTTGGAGCACGTGGAATAGTATACAGGGAATGATAGCAGCTTGAGGTTTTGTAGACAGGCAGAAGCTGTGTCTCAGCCTCCTGGGCACTGGATTTAAGTAAAGGGTGGGTCCCAAGATGAGAAAATAAAGAGAATTGTGATGGCAGGGTGGGACAGGGCTGCAGGGACATGAGTGGCCCCATCTTTAGGCAATAGGTGCCTAGGCACCCTACGGCTCTGCAGCATGTGTCTGCCACGTGTTCGAGATGAGGAGCCCGCCCAAGTCTACCCAGTGAGTCCTCTGAGGTCTTAACTCTGTTCTAGCCAAATTTGCCCTATCCCTGCACCCCAAGCAGTCAGCTACAGCCACCAAGGATCCAACTTGAATCTTGAACGAAAGAGACTAGACTCTAGGATCCTAGGAAGACCCCTGAGGAGGAAAATGCACCACAGTGCTTGCTTGAGTTGGGCCTGATCTATTAGTTGTGTTGACTGACACACTGACCCACAGTGGAGGATGAGGGATGGGTGAGGGATTAGAGAAAAGAGGAGCATGGGAAACATGCACATTCTCAATACTGAGAAATGAAGTGGACATTTACCTTCAAGGTTTAAGGTTATAGTTGGATTAAAGTTGGGAAGAGAAGTATTGAAAAGACACTTTATGGGTGGGGCAGGTGGGGACTCCTGAAGAACACCCACTCCTCCCTGTGCCCCATGACTTCAATTGCTCCAGTTTTCTGGATTTGGGAGCCAGATTAAAAAGCAGACCCACTGTTCCATGCACTCAGGGTGGCTGCTCAGAATTCACATGCTGATGCAATTGTGACACTCTTCGGGTTTCATACATCTTCTCCTTCCTGGAATGAAGCCAGCACTCAGCTTGCCCACTGTCATATGGCTCACAGTTGGCTCTCCATCCTCTTTCAATTATGCTCGGTTGCTTTCTCTTGTCCTGCCTCTTGCCTGCAATGATACCTAGAACACAAATTTTAAAGAGGTGTGTCTCTTCTCTGCTTTATTTTAACGTAGTGTGCATTTTTACAAATTGCATAGGAAGGAACACGAAGGCACCACACTTCAGATGTTTCTGCCAGGCAGGTAAATTTTGTTTGAAATGTTTTTAACTTATGCCTGCATGTATGTTTGTCAATAATCAGACACATCGTCAATGCATCCCTCAGACAGTTAGAGTCCTGGGACTACTATAATAGGTCTTGATTAGGTTGTGTGTGTGTGTGTGTGTGTGTGTGTGTGTGTATAACTTATACATGCTTCATTATATATATATATATACAGCATATATAAATTGTAAATTAGAGTAATAAAACAGATATTACTCTTATGGAATTGAAACATTGTGAGTGTCCCCAAATCCACCCAGAGGCAACCTCCATTTTAGCTCGCTGTATCTCTCCCGACATAAACATGATTTCGAATATTTTTCAGCCACTTGCTTTTAATATATTGCCATGTATATGTGCCTCTTTAAGTGCACTGGTGACATTTTCTTAGCTTTGAATTTTATAAATATGATTCCTTAGTAAATGCTGTGCATAATTGCGGTTCCCTCATTCCCATTGCTGCTTAATGTTTTGTTGTGGAACAAACCACAGCTCATTATGCCTTTTCTTGTCTGTCACATTGGGTTGGCTCAACATCCTTCTACAATGGACAGTGCTAGTGTGAGCATTTGAGTACATGTGTCCTCCCCATGCACAGAGGATCTTCTCATTACTTACACAGGAGGGTGATGTTTGGATCATGGGGAAACAAACTTTTCATTGATTTGGGTGCCTGTCACTGTGTGCAGAGCATCACACTGACTCTTCCATCAGCAGTTGTCCCTATACTGTACGCCATCTCTTCAAGGCATTCGATTTTCATTCTTTGGGCTTATGGTACTCACAGATGCCACACAATGGTGACATAAAAGGCTGGATTTTGAAGCCAGATTAAAAAGTAGACCCATTCTTTCATGGACATGGCGTGTGTAAAACGAAGCATGTAATAAGACTATCCATTTGAACATTTGGAATGAAATTACATTTAAAATAAAATTGAAAATACATGACCATGAATCTGGGTTTATAGAAACTGACATAGTTTAATTAATTAATGGGAATCGAGTGAACAAGGCCCTCTGGCAGTCCTCCTGATGCTACAGAGGGTGTCAAATTGAAAAGAAATAGCTTGGGGTTTTGGCTTGTGATTCTTCCCTGCCTCTATTAGCTAAGTAGACTGTGTGTTGCTCTGATCATGTCATTGACACAAACCAAAAATGAAGCACATGTTAGCTTCATATGATCTGAAAAGTTCTTTTTGGGTTTTTTTTGTTTTGTTTTGTTTTGTTTCTCAATGTTCCTTAAGTCTTTGGATAAACGTATCCACTACATGCAAAACCTAAGGAAGGAGAAGAGGAAATTGGGAAAAAGGTTTGCAAGGCCTGCCCCCGTTCCAGATCCAGGAATTATAGTAAGTGTCGAGCATTCCCAGAAATGGACAGTCCTCACTTGCTACCAGCATCCTGCTTTTTAGTGCACCCGATCACTCTTTAATTTTCTCTGCAACAATTTGTAATGCCACTCCAGGCAGACCCTTAATATTCCTTTTACCAAATTATCATGGTTTAAATCTACTCAGCAACTGTCTCCTGCTGAGAACATGGAGTTTGAGCTCTGAAGACATGTTGTCTGTTTATTGTGTGGTCTGAGGTTATTTGTTTAAACCTTAAAAATGAATTACAAAATTTCCTAAACAATAATTTATTTAGCCTATAATTAACACTTGAAATTTTAGAAAATTCTCTACACTGACTGCAACTTTTTAAAGTTTAGAGTATGTATTTATATACATATATACTTTATGTGAGTGTGTCTGTGTGAGTAGATGCTATGTGTGTCCCGGTCCCCAAAGAAGCCAGAAGAGGCTATCATGTCCCCTGGCATGACAGCCACCTAGTGCGGGTACTGGAAATCTAAGAGCTGGAGCCATAAATGCTGAGCTAGCTTTGGGCCTTGATATAAGTTTATCAGGAATAAATGCTTTCAGAATGAGGGCTACATACAAGTCACTTATAATGGCATTAAACTGCTCATTCTGTGGGTCACCAGAAGTCTGACGGCTTTCCCACTTGACAGTCCCTTGGGTACCTGAGGATAGCTGTCACTTTCCTACAATGTCAGAATTACTTTTTGTCAGATTGAAAATCCAGTTTTCTAAAATCTAATTTGCTTTCTGTTGACTGGTGAGCCCTGGCCATCTTCAAACAGAGGGTATGTTCCATACATAAATTTTTAGTTATTTTATCAGTTCCATGCACTTCATATACAATATAGTATTCTCTGTACTCCATCTCAGATCTCAGCCATTTCTCCACATAGCCCTTAGCAGATTGTCATGTAGTAGAAATCACCCAGCATGCAGCTTTTAAGAGTGGCTCTTTTCACTTAGTAATATACATTCAAGGTTCCACCACATGCTTTAATGTCTTGATAATCCAGTTTTAAATGTAAAAATTATTTCTTTATTGTGGAATATACACATTTGGATGAACATGTATGTGCCAAGGGATATATGTGGAAGACAGAAGACACGACCGTAGAGAAGTTGATCTTCTCCTTCCCTCATATGTGTTAGAGGGATTAAACTCAAAAGTCAGGTTTAGCAGAAAGTGCCTTTATCTGCTGAGACATCTCATTGGCTCAACCGATTTTTTTTTATCAGTGAACACTATGTAATTTTCTGGATATCATGTAGTGACTGATTAACACACTGAAGGATGCTTGTTGTAATTAAGAACTGTTGTATGCAAAACTGCTTGCATACAAAGACTTCAATCTTAAGAGTGAGATAATTGGTAGTTTATATAAATTTTTCTTACATAAATTTTAATTCCCTTTTTCTTTTTATCTGTGTGTTCTACTCCTGCTTAGTGGTCATCTGAATAAGCCTGGAGTCTTCTAGGTGAACCTATTCTCTAGATGAAAATATGTGGAATTCTGACATTGAAAAACAAGTCATGGCTTGGCTCCATCTGGAGAATAAAGGAATGTTCCATCATTCTGCAAAATAAACACAGAACTTGCACTCAACAACCAGGCTGTGGGCTTCTAAATTTTATTAAGTTTATAGCTCATCACTGTAGATTTTTTTTGTGGTAATCTGGTATCTCAAAATGTAAAGATTTTGCAAATATATTTGTGTTTCAATTGTTGCAATTAATTAGGTATATAGTTTACTCAGATATTGGGAGTGATCCTTCAATGTTAGGAAAATAACAGCATAATATCCCCTCTAGATTTACGATGATTTGGGTTGGTACTTCAAATAAAGTGTAATATAAACAAAATTGTCACTTAAATAAAAATCCACAGAACATTTTCTATGCAGAACTGAAATGAAGTTCTATTTTGACATGAAAAATAAATAGTAACTGCATCTGGTGTAGGAAAACGACGCTTTTTGGTAAGTAATGTCCAACTTGAAAATGGAATAGTGACTGTTGTCTAAACTATTCACAGCTGTTCAAAGTCAGCAATGGAACTGGCCAGGTTTCTGTAGTTTCAAAAGTGGTAAGTGGGACACAAGGAATTTCATTTTTAAAAATATAGACAAAAATGAGAAACTATGATAAACCGCCAGAAGATAGAATGGAATATCTAAAAGTTATAATTTCCAGAAATTGAACAATATTAGCAAACATGACATGTTTTTCAAGAATATAAGAAGTAAACTTGATCTATCAGGTTGTACCACAGGCTGCCTAGAAGAAGGTTCCATACTGTGCTACAAGCCAGGAAGGGGAGCCTGGGCAGAGCTGTAGGAACTCCTTTAAGTTACCAGCCCACTTGGGCACGGCCTCTTATAATATAAATGCTGCTGTGAAGAACGTGCCTATGCTCTGTCTCTCTTCTGGCTGCTGGGTTCCATTACTGTTTCCCCATCAGAGGACTGTGATCTGTGAGCCCACCCCTAAATAAATAACCCTTTATTATACTCACTTCTGAGCTAGTGTGGGCTTTCTTTTTAGGGTCCCTCTTCAGAGCAGAGTTCATAAATTTCCTGAGTTGAGGATGCACTGAGGCAAACAAGAAATCAAGACACCTAGTTTAGCTGCTGTTGACGGGACAAGCTACAAAGTGTATCGAGCAGGCAGATAACTCACACTGACTGCTGGGGAATGCGTAGCTGCATGTGTGAGGCCAGTCAATACAGGTCAGACTAGTAAACTCCACAATCTACCACATTCGCCTACCAGCAGCATGCACAACCCTTGTTCATCACACGGGGCATTTAGCTGACAACAGAGGAATCAGCTGATAGCAGTAAGCTACTCCCAACTCTCCAAAAATAAGTAACTCTCCAAGACTAGGGTATGGAAACTTTACAAGAAGTTTGGACCTCACCAACCCCCTTACCACTGAAGAGGCAATGCAAGGCCCTCAAAGGACATCTGGATGTGCGCTTAGAGTACCAAGGTATGCAAAGTCTACTTTTTTCTGCATGTGTATGGTGCGGGAGAATTGTCTGTATTCTGTCAATCATGTTTTAAATAAACGCTGATTGGCCAGGCAGGAGGCATAGGCGGGAAAACCAGACAGGAAGTAGAAATGATGCCAAGAGAACAGGAGAATTCTGGGAAGGAGAAAGTTGATTCCCACCATTCCTGCTTAGATGTGATCTGCCCCACTGAAAAAGGTACTGAGCTACATGGCTAATATAGATCAGAAAAATGGGTTAATCAAGATGTGAGAGTTAGCCAGTGAGAGGCTAGAGCTAATGGGCCAATCAGCTTATAATTTATGAAGACCTATGTGTGATTTTCTTTGGGGTTAAACAGTTGTGGCATACCAGGCGGGACAAAAACCCCAACAACAAGCAGGCCCCCGTTCGTGTTACATGTGTACACCCATATCATAAGTTTAACTTACAAATTAGAGAAAGATTAACAACCACATCTAATAACATAGAACACAACAATATGTTGTAATAAAAAATGCTGTGGTTGAGATCACTCCAGCTTGAGAGAGTTAGGGTGAATACAAGTCTGTTGCAGACCACAGGGACCCAAAAGGCACAGGAGGAGGTCTTCAGGAAACTGAGAGTGTAAGAGTGTAAATAGCCTAGGTAAAGAGATGAAAAGGAATATGAAAGCAAAAAGGGTATCTGGGAATGGGAATAGTGTCCTCCTGAATTTTAGAATCTTCTCTTATAGAACACATATTGGGGAATTGGCTGGGGTCATTAGCCAACAGCTGAGAATAAGATCCTTTGACCATAATCCTTGATATCAAGGGAGGGTTAGGTACTAATGTCCAATGACTTTCAGCTTGGCACTACTTAGAGTCAGTGTAGTAAGCAAAAATAGAAGCAGGATCGGTGCTTGCTGCCATCTCTTGTGCCTGCTCATTTTTCTCTGCTTCCTTGTTGGCATCAATTGCCCCAGGTCTGGTGAGATGGATGGGGATCGAGTGTAAGCTGCAGTACACTTTCTGGAAAGACACAAGCAAAGTCTCCCCATGATAAGTAATGGGCTGGTGATTGCCATTTATCTGTTATCCCATCTTTCTGCAGCATCAGAGGTTACCTCACAGACCCTGACAAAGTGTCCAATATTTATGAGCTGCAGTATTTTCTTTGTTAACTGTTTTCAAAACATTCAAAGTCAATAATGCCATAGTGGTAAGATGTTGAGGGGGAGGAGCCTTATTCAGACACATGTTCCCCACTCTGCATTTATCAATTTGTTCTTTGAGTTACTTGTGTGCTCTCTGCACTACAGCTTGACCTTGGGGATTTTAAGAAATCCCAGTAACATGTTGATTTTTCCACTGGAGACAAAATTGTTTAAAGGCAGGGAAGGATCCACATGATACACAAATGCCTTTTAGTCTGGATTCAAATATCTGTAGTTCTTCTTCTGTCTCTCAGGAGACTATGAGAGGAGTGTGCAATGCCACCTCTCCTTCACTGGCATTGGGTATTTAACTTTAGGGCTGCTGCAAGGGCCTCTGCAGACATTGCCAGCATATATCTAAGTCCCTATTTCTTGACATACCAGGATCCAGTCATCCAGGGGGACATTCCTTATCAGACCGAACAGCCTCTGTATCTCTGCTGTGGCTCCATCACAAGCAAGCTGGCATCACAGTAGGCTCCTGTCTCAGCATGCTGCGGTTTCCACTCCATGGAACTTTATACTCTAGCTAGAAATTTAACAAAAGGCTCAGTAGGTTCCTGTCTTAAATCTCTGAAACTTTCTGTGCCCTGCAGAGGGCACATCCTCCTAAGCCCTTAGAACACAAAGATGAACATGGTCAAAATACTGAGAAGGTTCAAGATCTTGCTCAGCAGGTGATAAGGTACTCAGCAGCTGATGCTCTTTCCTGAGTAATGTATTCATATTTAATGGGATACCTGAGTTTCTTTTCTCTCAGCCGCAAGTTCATAGTGATCATAATTATATGCATTCTAAGTAAAAAAGCCCAAAGGCTAGTACATGCTCAGCTCAGCTGTTTATAATCACCTGACATATTTCAATTCATGCCCATCAATTTATATAATTGCATTACACATGGAGAATAACGTCTGTCATCTCGACAAGCAGTCTGAAGGGGCTGGATGGTTGTAAGGTCATGTGGATTCTATGCTCAACTCTCTTCTGGGTAGGATTTATATTTGGTGGAAAAGTTGAGACTTTGGATTGCTGATTCTGCCAGCAATCATCATGCCTTGCCCAAAGCTGTGAGAAAAGAGAAGAATGTGGAGGCACCTGAGATTCTTCACTTTCTAAGCTTCACTGTTTAAGCAATGCATTCAAGGATAGGTATAAGGTTGGCATCGAGAGGAGGTCTTCCATCCCATCACACTTTTGGTGCCTTACTGACTTCCTCCTTCTTGTCAGATGCACACTCTTTAGTGGCACAGCAAGAATTTGTATCAGTGCCATCTTGATTCCCTCCCTCCTCTTCCTTTTCATTCTCCCCATCTCTCTCTGCCACTAGGAAAGCTTGTAATGGCTTAAGAGTTTTCTCTCCCTCACGTAGGTGCCTAATATCGCTGTAATAATAGGATCGAAAGAGTCAGACAAGGAGTGTCCAGTCCTAACTGTGATACAGCTCTGAGGAGAAAGGCTTCCTCAGTACAAGTGTTGCAGCTCTGAAGGGAAATGCTTCTCCAGTGGAAGTGTTACTACTCCAAGGGGAGAGGTTTCCCCTATGTGTCTTAGTCTGTTTTGTATTGCTATAATAAATACATGACTCAAAGCAACTTGGGAAGGAAAGGGTCCTATTTCAGCTCACAACCCTGGCTATTCTCTATGACTGAAGGAGTCATAGCAGGAACACAAGGCACAAGCCTGAAGGCAGGAACTGAAACAGAGGCTGTGGAGGAGTGCTACTTACTGGCTCGCTCCTCTTTTCTCTGTTTGTTCAGCCTGCTTTTGTAAACATCCTAGGATCATGGGCCTAGGGGTGGCACTACCCACAGTGGGATATGCCCTCTCCCACCAATCAGTAGTCAATATAATGCCTGTTAGGTTTGTCTAAGGACAATCTGATAGAAATATTTTCTCAATTGCAGTTTCCTTTTCCCAGATGCTTCTAGTTTGTGTCAAGTTGACAAAACTCTAACCAGCACAGAGAAGGAAGCAGTTGTGCCAACAATGACACTGGGCACACATGGGCTTGTGTCAGAGCTCGACAAAGCCTCATGTTACCTAGCAGGTTAGTAGCTTATCATCCCAGCCTTCACTCTGCTGTACCATTATTTTCCTAGATAATGGCATATCCACCTTACAGAAAGCTCCTCCAAGTTTTCTCCCATAAAACTATCATATAACACTTCTGTGGACTCCTTCATCTCAAGTAATGAAAAGGTTGGAAGTAGAATTACTTTGCATTGCAAATAGTTTCCCTCCACTTATTAAATAAATCTCTCAATTACAATATATCAATTGAAAAACTGATATTAGAATTTTAATAGAAGTGAACAATCAAGAAAATAGAGCTTAAGTGCACTGCAATAAAAGATTGGAGTGATATGCACACCTTGAAATTACTCTTGGTTTGCTTTCCATTGCTGTTATAAAACACTGACTAGAACCAACATGGGAAGAACGGGTTGACTTCATATAATAGCTTGTGGTTCTTCATCATCTAGGGAAGGCAAGCAGAAGTCAAGGGAGGAACTTGAAACAGAAACCCGGGAACTACACTGCTTATTACCTTGCCTGGCTGAAGCCTAGCTATTCTTCTTGCACAAGCCAAGCCCTCCTGGCTAGGGAATGATAGTCCCACCCACAGTAGGAGAGGCTCTCCTATATCACTTGTCAATCAAGAAAATGTTCCAAAGACATGCCCACTGGCTAACATGAAAAAGGCAATACTTAATCGGGTGTGAAGTTGGCAACCAAGATTAGCTGGCACAGGAACCAAAGGGAAAGAAGCTGAATGGCCTCAGGATACAGGATGTCCCATGCCCTTGGACCACCTGCCTCTGCTGACTGGCACTCAGACACTCAGGGCTTCTACAGAGATGGGGAACTAGAGGTGATAACCATTTCTGAGTGTTGTCTTTCAGAAGTGACACTCTGATCCTTGCTAAAGGTCTGGGCTACAGAGCTGCTAAGAGGCTAGGAGGAGAACACCTTAAAGAGGCAGAGAAATAATTTAACATGGAAAGATTTCTAATGTAAACTCTAAGAATAGGGAGGTCAGAGATGAATGACTAGGAAGAAATAGGGATTTGGTTAAGCTGAAGGAAACTTGAGAGCCATGGTCATCAGCAACCTTACGCTTGAGATGAATTTGTGTTAATTGTATGTTGTAGTTCCATGAACTTATTAAAACCTGAAACTATCCAGGTGTAAAAATTCTTAAAAATGGAAGAACTGAAAGTTCCAAGTTGATAATGTGGAAGTAAATTCTCAACATGTCTATAAGAAATAAAAATTGAAATATATTTGTACTATTTTGAAGCACAGTAACTTCAAATAATAGTTTCTGTGTGCTTACCCAAGAAATTGGAAGCATTTGTCCCCTCAACCATAATGTGTAATTCATGATGAAAGCAGAGAAATAGAACCAGACAGAAAGAGAAGGCTGGGAGAAGGAAGAAAAGAAATAATGAAAACAAGAAATGGAAATGGCACCAATTTACACAGTCCAGAAGACAGAACGTATACATACATAACTACTGTCAACTGTCCCATCTAAAAGAAAGAATACACGCGCCGTGTTTGAGTGCAAACAGCTGCATTTTGGAAATGCCTTAAATTTGCAGATTAACTGCAAAGCCTTGATGTGAGGAGACATGGGCTGGACATGAATGTCAGGTGGGCCCTAGCGTTTCTAAATCTAGTTTTAAGCAGTCGCCAGGGGAATCTTACTGTTTGGAAATCTGGGCCGCGTTTCATGGAAGTCTTTCTGGTTGGACTGTATTGCTTTCCCATGAGGGAAACGCGAGTCGCCCGCATCTGTCTCTGAGACGGGAAGAAGAGGCGGCTCTCTCATCCTGCCGACTCCGCGATACAGCACTGACCCCACTGAGAGGCAGACAGGGCAGCTGACAGCAAACTGGACTGCGGGTTTCAGGGATCAGAGGCCACAGTTCCTGCTCTCCCAACTGTCTTCTCAACAGGTGCCTGCAAGAGCATAAGTCCGCATGCGCAGAGCTCCTGGGGAGGGTGGGCTGGGCTCAGACCTGGGCATTGCACAGCCTTAGAGCCTGAGAAATCAGCCTCGAAGGGTGGGGCCTCGAGAGCCGAGGGTGGGACGGGGTGAGAGTGGGGAGGGAGGAGTGAGGGCGGTGACGGAGGGGGTGTGAGGGGGACGGGTGGGAGTGGGGCGTTCTCATTTGGAGGGGCTGACAGCTAAGTGGGTGGGGCGGAGCCGTGGGTCAGGCGGAGCTCGACTGGAAGGGGCGGAGCCTAACGATGGAGACGCAGCAGGGGCGGGGCTTGTCGCAGATGGGTGGGGCTTTGCCAGAGTGGGGATTCAGGACCCAGAGTGAAGACCGTGGGTTGGGCTGTTGTTAAATCCTATTGGGTGGGGTTTGCGACAGAGGCGGGGCTTGATACTGGACCGGATGAATGGAGATTGCCGCCGGGTCAGGTGGAGCTAGTTCGCACTGGAGGCGGGGCTTGCGGTAAGCCTGGAGGGGCGGGGCTTGTTGCTATGTCGAGTAGGATAGGGTTTTGCTATAGGCCGGACAGGGATGGTGCTAGCATTTGGGCGGAGCTTTGGGGGGCGCTGGCCTGGGGCGGGGCTTGCCCCTCAGGTGGGGGCGGGTCTCGCCACAGGGCGGGACTTTGCCGCGGGTCAGGTGGGGGCGGGGCTTGTCGTTGGGCGGGGCCAGCCACAGCCCCCCTGCGAAGATCCCCAGCCGGGCCAGAGGTGCCAGCGTCCCCATGGGGCTGTGCTTCCCGTGCCCCGCGGAGTCCGCACCGCCATCCCCGAGCCCGGTGAGTAGCCTGTCTCGCCCTGCTCCAGCTCGCGGCGGCCGTTGTCATGCAGCCGGGCTGAAGGTGAACCTGCCGGGCGGCCGGACGCTCTCCGCGGCTGTCCTGCGGACCCGTCTAGGGTAGGACAGGTGGGGGCTGGTCTGTCCCCAGGGGCTGCTCTCGACGTGTGCCTCTTCTCGTGTCTTTACCAGCTGTACAGAGAAGGTCCTGGACGCGCCGCTGCCCGTGCCATTTAGTGGATATTTTATTAACCGGCGGCTTGCTTTTACTCAGTTTGTAACAGCTGGGGGCCAGCCCAGCTTTGAATCACACATAAACAAGCAGTACGTTTTAGGTGTAGAGGTTTCCAGTACTGCTGTATTTGGGATATATTTGTGTGGAAGCAGTCATTATTTTTTTTTTTTTTGAAATTAGAATATAAACAAGCCTTATGCTCCAACTGTACGCTTGTGTTAATATTTTTGCCTGTATTTGATCACATAACATAAATTTTTTTTCTCCCTACATCGGTTCTTGATGTGGCTAAAAATTAGTTGAAGCAATGAAGAATTTAGGGAAGTATATTAGTCCGTTAGCCACTAGGCTATAGATACTACCGTGACTGTTTAGACGATGTGGGAAAGTTCAGCTTTCCTTTGTGGCTGTTGTTGATTTTAAATGTTAGTTTTGTTTAGCTCAGAGAAAAGTATCTTTCTGCCAGCGTTTGTTAAGCCATATATCCCCAACGCCATCCTCTTCCCTTAACCGCTGGGCCCACTGGTGTATTTTACTTAGCACCTAAGATTTCCCTGCCCTGGCTGTGGGTCCAGCAACCCCCTGCCACCTCCTTACCCACTGTGATCATTACATCTCTCCCCGAGTACTTACTTTCTTCAGACACACACGTGTGTATTTGCTTACAGAACTCAAACTTTATGTGCATGGATGTCTGTATTTCATGGCTGGCTTCCTAGTGCCTAGAAAAGTTGGTGACAATCATTGGGATGGATGGATGAGTGTACTTGGTGTGGAGAAGGAATGGTTAAAAATCACACCCATGAGAAGTCCCAAGAGAAGTAAAGGGCAGAGAAAAATACCGCATGGTGCCTGCATAGGTAGGACAAGTGCCCCCTGAGTTTCTTGTCTTGTCTTCCCCACTCTACATAGCAACATCAGCCCATTGGTTCTAAATGGTTCCCCTAACTTCATCCTGCTTCATTGTCCTTTTGAACTAAGTTCCAAATTATCCTCAATTTCTACGTGTGCTAATCTGGTATATTGGTCTATAGAGAGAAATTCAGAAAGTCAAATATTTAATAAATACTGTAATACTTGTAGAACTCGGGATTATTCTGATTTATTTTGTTCGGGTGAAGGTGTATTCTTGCCATGTTGCTCAGGCTAGTCCTGAGCTGGGCTCCAGTAATCCTACTTATAGTCCCTCACATTAGTATCTAGGACTACAATTCCAGCACATCTTAGTGGGCTCTTATAGTGACTTTCTATATGAGGCTTTTACACCCATACTAAGTTTTTACAAACTGTTTCAATTTACACATTATTTATTTTTGTTGCCTCTAAAGTGAAGGTGTGTGGGGGTCTGTGATGTTTGGTTTTTCTCTTGAATTTTCTTAGGAAGAGAAAAGAGCAAAGCTGGCAGAGGCAGCAGAAAGAAGACAGAAAGAGGTAAGAGCACGATAGTTTGCCTGTTTGACAAGCGGTTGATTTCACTTTCTACAGTCTACCCTGCTCCCTTGCTGGAACGTGCTTGATGGCATTCACGGCTTTATACTCAGGGATAACCACTCTCAAAATGATGTCCAAGTGTCCAGGAACTGCATGCATTTACATTGCTTACTGTGAAAATAGCCCCAGATGGCTTTCACACTTGAGACTGTCCTCAGGATAAACCCACCATGATGATCAGTGTGAATGATCTAGGTTGAAGGAGGAATTCTGTGTGCTTGAAAATGGCCATGTTTTATGCAAGGCTGTTGTAGCATGCTGCCCTGTTACCCGAACCAACCCAACTTCCCAACCCCAAAGGAAAATCTAAAAAGCAAAACAGGCACATTCAGACACCAGATACTTTTGTTTTCCCCTGTAATCTCCCTTGGTTGAATTTCTTAAAGGCTGCATCTCGGGGGATTTTGGATATCCAATCAGTGGAGGCAAAGAGGAAGAAGAAAGAACAGTTAGAAAAGCAGATGGAAACATCGGGGCCACCAGCAGGTGGACTCAGGGTGAGTGTCACCTGGTGATTTATAGTGTCACCTGGTGGTCCATAGTGTCACCTGGTCCATAGTATCACCTGGTCTATAGTGTCACCTGGTAATCCATAGTGTCACCTGGCAGCCCATAGTGTCACCTGGTAATCCATAGTGTCACCTGGCAGCCCATAGTGTCACCTGGTCCATAGTGTCACCTGGCAGTCCATAGTGTCACCTGGTGGTCCATAGTGTCACCTGGCGGTCCATAGTGTCACCTGGTGATCCATAGTGTCACCTCACGGTCCATAGTGTCACCTGGTGATCCATAGTGTCACCTGGTCCATAATGTCACCTGGTGGTCCATAGTGTCACCTGGTGATCCATAGTGTCACCTGGCGGTCCATAGTGTCACCTGGTCCATAGTGTCACCTGACGGTCCATAGTGTCACCTGGTGGTCCATAGTGTCACCTGGCGGTCTATAGTGTCACCTGGTGATCCATAGTGTCACCTCACAGTCCATAGTGTCACCTGGTGGTCCATAGTGTCACCTGGTGGTCCATAGTGTCACCTGGTGGTCCATAGTGTCACCTGGTGATCCATAGTGTCACCTGGTGATCCATAGTGTCACCTCACGGTCCATAGTGTCACCTGGTGATCCATAGTGTCACCTGGTCCATAATGTCACCTGGTGGTCCATAGTGTCACCTGGTGATCCATAGTGTCACCTGGCGGTCCATAGTGTCACCTGGTCCATAGTGTCACCTGACGGTCCATAGTGTCACCTGGTGGTCCATAGTGTCACCTGGCGGTCTATAGTGTCACCTGGTGATCCATAGTGTCACCTCACAGTCCATAGTGTCACCTGGTGGTCCATAGTGTCACCTGGTGGTCCATAGTGTCACCTGGTGGTCCATAGTGTCACCTGGTGATCCATAGTGTCACCTCACAGTCCATAGTGTCACCTGGTGGTCCATACTGTCACCTGACAGTCCGTAGTGTCACCTGGTAGTTCGTAGTGTCACCTGGTTATCCATAGTGTCACCTGGCGGTTCATAGAGTCACCTAGAAGTTCATAGTGTCACCTGGCATTTTATTCACTAAGTCCCTGGAACTATCTTTGAGAAAGACTCCAGGTAACGTGAAAACACAGGGGGCAGAGATTAGAGGACATGTCAATTTATTTTAATATTGGGATAGGTTTGCTTTTTTTCCCCCAAAATAATAAGTTTTCCTTCTAAGCACATTATCTTATGTTTTATATGTAATGCTAATCATCAATGTGTCAGAAAAGCAAGCAGTATAAAAGACTATCGAAAAGGCCAAGCTCCACCCAATTCTGCCATTTTGACAAATGTGTCAAATATCTATCTACTTGTATGTAAATCATGAAATTGAGTTTTTTTGAAACTTCTGATGTGTAGTTTAATGTCCTCACTCTAGGGTTTGAGATCTTTGGTTTCATGCTTATTTGGTTTTTTGAGACATGGTCTCCTGCAACCCATGTTAGCTTTGAACTCACTACATAGCCAGGGATGGCCTTCAGCACTTGATCTCCCTGCCTGCACCTTCTATTGAGCTCATCCAGGCTTTAGGAACTTTTGGTTCTTCTGTTGTTGCTAATTGCCTTAGTTATGAATATGTGAGTTTAGACTGCGGTGTGTGCAGCAGTGAAGTGGTACATATTTCTCCCAATAGCTATGCTTCTGAATTGAGCCTGGTTTGTCCTTGGTGTACCTGCTAAGTGACAGAGGTCCTTCATCCGCAGGCTGTAGTCTAATGGGAGTTATCGTCTGTGTTGCTGCCCAGGAAAACAACAGTTCAGATACTGTGACTTCACAGGGACTCTTCTTTCAGCCTCAGGATAATTGGGGAAAGCATAGTACCCTTAATTGCTTTCAGCTTTTTAGGTAATTACTCCTTGAAGTTTCATTTGGGTTGGTCTCAGAACCACACTCACATACATAATCTCAGGCATTTATGTCTGTATGGCCAGATGTGGTGGGCAAGAAACGAGGCCCTCCTAAGCGGAGTCGATTCAGGCCCAGGAGAGCCTGTCAGAGACAGCACTTATCTCTGCTGTTTACCACAGTGAATTACCTCATCCAGTTTCAAGTAATGAATTAAATGAAAAGAAAAATGTTTTGCTTTGCGGTGGACCTTAATGATTAATAAAATAATTGGGTTTAGCATTCATCTATGTCATGTCGCCATTTTTATGAATGTCATTTCCTAGACTTGAAAAGAGGACAGAGTATATCTGGTGTAATTTTAATAGATAATGAGATCAAATCATTATGAAAACCATGTTTTTCTTTTTCCTATGAAGTTAAAAAGCTGACACTAAGCTCAATTCCAATTGTGTTCTCAAAAACAAGAAAGATACGGAGTAAATCATAGCACTAGAAAGAATGCTGAGATCCACCCATTCCTAGCAGGAGCAGAGGTGCAAAGTTCCCAGAGAGTGCTAGGCGCTAAGTTTAGTTGAGCCAGCTATCCTACCTGTAGTCAGAATTAAGAAAGCATTTCTTTCACATGTTATAGCCTAGTAAGCCCACTCTTCAAGCCTAGGAATCAGGCTTTCTTCATTAAATCTGCAGCTCCCTCATTCTGAGGCCTGTAGATTGAAAAGATACTAGGCCTCGTGTTACTTCTAGGCCTCATGTTACTTCAGGCTTCTCTACGGAGCTCAGAACAGAAGCATTTCCATGGTTATCCTTCCTCATTTTGTGCTGGTTCTTTTACAAAATCTGATTTCTTAGTCATGAGCATCAAACTGCAAAGCTGCTGCGGAGTTTTCTTAAAGGAAAAATCACGCCCACACCCTACTACTGCTGCCCACTGTGTGGTCGTCCTGGCCACTCTTCATCGGCAGCCTTGGGAGTGTGTCTTTGTCTCTGTAGCCAGCTGGCCAGTGCTCAAAGCACGACGTTCAAAAGGAATGCATTGTGGCCCCAGGAATAACAAAAGGAGCAGCACAGCGCAGACAGTGGCTCAGGTCTAGGCCTGGGTCCTCCAGTGTCTTGTTCCGTGCACAGCTTGGAGGATCCTTCAGACCAGGAAGATTCTTGTCATGAAGAAAATGTTTCCTCCCCATCATCATATATCCAACATCTGCCTGTCTCCTGGGGTAGCATAGATAGTGTTCAAGGTTTTATAGAAAGGGGCTTACCTAACCAAGGCTGTGACACCCACTCTGAGGTCGTGCCCACACCAAGGACCGTGACCCCACCAGATCTATAGCAGACATTCATGCAGGAGCAATGGCCAAGGGGCAGTCTTGAGGTCTCAGTGAGGGCTGTGCCTGTTAATTTGAAGTGTCCCCAAGGGTGGAGTAGTTCACAGAGATATTTATTTTCCCATTGTAGTTTCAATTTAAAGCCTGATTGAGATTTCCCAATGTTAAATTAACACTAATCTTGATGTCGAACAGTCTACAATACATTTGGGGTATATTCTGTACTATCAAAGATTTTTAAGTTTTTTTTAAGATTGGATTTTTAAAAGGTTTATTTTTATAATTTTAACTACATATATGGTGATGGGTATGTATATCTAGGTGAGTGCAAGTGCCTTCACTGGCCAAAGGCGTTGGATCCCCAGAGTTGGAGTGACCACCCAGAGTGGGTGCTGGGACTGAACTCATGTCCTCTAGAAGAGTGGTGTATGCTCTATACATTGGGCTCTCACTCCAGCCTGTACTTTTCTTTTGCAAACTATGAGACACATGATATTTAAGGCTCAAAGAAGTCGTGTAATAAAGAAAAATGAGTTATCTCCTATCAACCCTTAATTTTCCAATGTATTGAAATAGTGGTAAAAACATCTTTAGCACTAAATATTTCTTGGATACAGTTTGAAATACTACCTAGATGACCATGAATACTTATCGTCCTTACTTGAAGGATTTTCTAGAACTTACTCTCAAAGATTTCATAGACTTTGCTAAACAAACTGACACAGAGTGTTTTCTCACTCAAGAAAGGGAAAGATCTTAACACAAAATTATTTAATAACTACTTTTTTTGGGGTCCTGGCTCAAGAAGAAAAGTATTCTTTTTGTTGTTGTTTTGTTTGCATTTCGTAATCTCACTGATGCTGTTTTTCCCCTTACTGTGTTGTGTGTCTGGGATGTAAGCTAATGAAGCTTACTCAGTGTCTGCCAGCTTCTGAGTCTGGTGAAGAGCCACTCACATATATGACCAGGTACATGGCATGGGGTTATTGCTCATGGACAAGCTTCACGGGACAACAGAAGCCTGGGGATGACTTCTGAGTCAGGGTAGCTTTTCAGGTCAATGGAGTCTGCCAAGGAAGGGCATTGGAAAGCAGCTCACTCTGGGTCCCATTTCTTGGAGACAACATAATGCATGTAGTAGTGTACCATTGAAGGATATCTAGGGTACCAACTCTTCTGTCCAGTCCTCACTCCCATTCCAGGATATTATTACCATTCCTAACTCTGACAGATTCTGACTGATCACGTGGGAGCCTTGGGCAGTCCAAGAGACTGGGCACATTTAAGGTCACCCTTTTATCTCCTCCAAAACATTATCTTTCCTTTATTTTTAGGCAGCTCTCTTATTTCATATTTTTGTGTATAATATAAAATTGTATTATTCATGGATATTTGCAAAGAAAATTATTTTGACCCTTAATTTTCTTTCTTTTTGTCCATTAGAATATCATTATATAATCTAAGTCAAAATGTATTGACTGATGCCTGTCTATTTTACCTTTTCTAGTGGACGGTGTCATGAAGCATCACACACTGCAGGAGTGCTATGTCACTAACTCCAGCATCAGCAGTCAGATGGATTTCAGCTGAGTGTCTCTTCTTCAGACTGATGAAGAATCAGACTCTGTATCGTTAGAGCCCTTGAGAGCAATGTGAAAACTATACTAAAACTATTGGTAAAATTTTTGATTTTCAAGCTTACCAAATGACCCATCTTTTCATTCAATTCCAATTTCCCTATATTTATTTTCTCTTCTTCAAGAAGTAACTTTCCGTTTTTGTAGTTAAAATATGGATCCAAAAGATATATCTGTGCATGCTGTGTTCTTGTCCCACATATATCTTCAGTGTTGAACTTGCTTTCTAAGTAACCTGGCTACTTAGGGCCATGTGGCACAGCCTTCTGTCTGTTTCTGTTTCATTGTATAGGAAGACTTCGGCTTCAACTCCAGACCTAGTGCCTTTAAGCTGATCATCAGGGAAAATCCTAAGGATGTATTTTAGAAGGACTTTAGGTGAAGGAATTCTTTATTTTTATAGCCCACTGAGAAATTAATATTTGTAGGCAAATGTTGACTTTCTGCTCATGTATCTTCTGTACTTATGGCATATCATACTAACTTGAGCTACGTGTCAGGGGTCCACCAGAGTACAGTGGGCTTCTGATGTGCCCTACCAGAGGCATGAGGGTGTGTGCAGTGACTGGATGAGAGCAACTGAGAAGCAGGTTAGTGACAATAGATTTGTTCAACTTTCACGAGCATCTTTATTCCCCTGCAGTGTGGAAGGGTAGTTGTAAGATGAACACAGACAGGGCATTGCCAATGGAAGCACGACAGAGAAACACATAAGCTCTGTACTTGCGAAGGTCGCCTTCATGTGTACAAGGATCAGGAGACTACGTGGTGTGATAGTCAGACAAGAGGTCTGCAGACCTCTGCTAACAGTAGACCTGAGGGGTGACATTGTAGCTTGTCTTCTTTTTACTGCACAGTAAGCGGAGATGCAAGGATGCTGCAGCTATGGGCTGCGATGCCAATACCTGATTCCCTCCCATAAAACGTATAGATTCAGGAATCTCAGTGAATTAGGCCAGGTCAAGCCACAAAAGGAAACTGAGCCACCAGCTCGCCTGTCCCTCCCACAAAGTATTTGACAGTGGGTCGAGCATGTTCTTTTTAAAGAGTTGACCCTATAATATAGGTCTCATCATGGCTGAAGAATTACTTTTCTATTGTTCAAAAATATTTCATATCTAGGTAAGACATATGACTGTATCAGTATACTTTTCTTCATTTGTAGATTAGTGATATTTTCCTTCATCAAGGATAGTAAAATCAATAAATCAAATTTTAGAAATATTTTAGTGTATTTTGGTAATTAACTCTAACATAGGAAGGCTCACTGGATGGGGAGAGAAGCAGCGCACACCATCCTTCATTATTGCAAGCCTTCCTCTGGTTAGCACAGGTACCCCATTCTCTTCACTTCGTCTTTGAGAATGGAACTTGAGTTGTGCATAGAGAAGGCTCACTTTCTAGAGGTAGTGCTGCATTTATAGCCAACTGGCGTTCTGACCTACTCCTGAGGCACACGCGATGTACAGGTATAGTGCTTGCTTGGGATAAGTGGGATACACTGCTTTTGCCAACTGTGAGCTGCCTTTGCCTTTCCAAGGCCATGTGCACGGCTATGGCCTGCCCAATAGACATGATGTGCTCAGCCTTCCCGAAGGCTATTTATGACATAGGTACTAAATGGTGATTTGAGTCTCATGAATGTGATTAAAAAGATGAAACAGGATGCTTGATAAGAAACTAGGAAATGGTTATTAAAAATCATACAAACGTAAACATTTTGCTTAGATTATGGATAGTCATATAGAGGCGTGATTCTTATCATTTACAGCTTAAATAACAAAAATTGTAACATTGAATAACATCCTCCAAACGTTATGACTAGTAAAACATAAGAGAAAGCATCAGATGCAGAAAGATAACCAATGTATGCAAACTTCAGTATTAATTCTAATTCTGAAACTGATGTAGCTGTTGTTAAACGAGTTTCATTTATCATTCCAGAATGCCTCTGTGACACATGGCATGTTTTGGGAACATCCAATGGTGGCTCTTTTATCCAGTTGATGTTATGATTATATCTGGAATATGATTTATTAGTTTTCTAATTATCATGAGCTCACATGTTATGTATTCTGCATTGTCTTTGGGGATATGAATATACATCTTTCTATATAAAAGTTCCCTCTGGCCATTTTAAAGTGTCTCTACTCCATCTTAAAGAAATTAGGAATGTCTTTGCAGTTAGGGCCACTTCCATGTCTCTGGGATTAATAATGGAAAGAGAAGAAACAATTCTCTGGAGGGGGGAATGTCTCTTGCTTCATCTGTGAAGAGGAAATGTTATTATTTTGTTATTACTTCTGTCTTTTAGGATAAAAGCATTGCAAAAAGGCTCTGCAGCATCCCAGAACCCTGGAAATTGATATGAAATTTGAATTTATCCTTTATCTAAAAGTTTGACTTATTTTCACTGAAAAGAATTATACTATATCCTTGGAAGATGAAAGTACATCTTGTCGGGTTTGAATAAAGTGTAATTTAACAGATTTGCAAGAGTTAGGTGGATGTGATGTGCCTGCCTCCTGTTTTGAGTGAAAAGGGACATTTCTTTTTTAAAATAATATTTTTATTAATTCCTTGAGAATTTCACACAATGTACTTTTATTGTATTCACCCGTGTCCTCCCAGATCCACCCCAGCTCCTATCCACTAACTTCATATCCTCTATCATTTCTTCCCTTTTCTAACCACGGAGTCTAGTTTGTGCTAGTCCATTATTCTTGGTTGTGGGGCAGGACGTGGTTGTCACACTCTTAAAACTGAGTCTTCCTCTCTCCCGGCATCTATCAAATGCTGTTAGCAAGGGCTGGGACCGTGTGCTCACCTCCCACTGTGCTGGGATTTTTGTCTAGCTTGAGATTGCACATGTCTTTCTCACAGTGCCACTGCAAGCTCGTACGTGCAGCTGCCCTGCTCTGTCCAGAAATGTTTCCTTGTCCTCAAAACCACCTCTGGCTCTCACTCTTGCTCTGCCCCTCTTTTATGGTGATCCATGATCCACAGGGGCAGGCTGAAACAGACATATTTACAGCTGAGCATTCCGTGGTCTTTCATTTTCAGAATGTCAACCAGTTACCAGTTGCAAGCCTCTTGGTTAATCACCATCGATTTCCTTAACTTCTTATCTAAGTAAACATCTCATATTCCATCTTACACACACACACACACACACACACACACACACACACACACACTGTAACCTGATTCAGATATAGTTATGAGTCCAATGCATTGATTTTCTAAAACCAGCCAATCAAACATAAAAGAAAAAAACAGCATCACCAAAATAACAAACAAACAAACAAAAAACTTACCTAGAAAAGCCTGTATAAGTGTGTATAGCAGGTTGTGGAAGTAGTTTCGTTTTCGTTGCAGAAGTTTGTGTCACCAGCCTGAATCTTCAGTTCTCCTTCAATATGGCTTTTTACTACACTGTTCTGTCTTTTGTGTGTGTGTGTGTGTGTGTGTGTTTTGCAAACATTACATCAAATCTGACTACCACAGTTTAAGAACTAAATATACATAAACTCCTTGGCCTGAACATGACACTTACTAGTGGTACAGCCTTTGACTTGTATATGAATTTTAAGGGAAACAGGAGAAATTTTCTTCTTAGTGACACGCTGTCCCACAATTTATGAAGTGAGCATTACAACTTGGGAAATTTTTCAATTTTTCCTTTGAGTTACATTGATGGGTAGAAATTTCTGCTCATTGACCCTGCATCTATTCTTTTGGCTAACCACAAAGCAATAGCTAACCAAGACAGCAAAGAATTCCACAGCACATTTATTGGTGGCAACGATGAACACCTGGAATCATTACTGCTTCGTTGTCAGTTTTTTGGGTGCCTTTGCCACACATGACCCGCAGGGGCCATCCAGGTCTGCCACCGTTCCATACTTCTGAGGGTCTCTTGAAAGCTGCATTGCCACCTGGCTATGGCCTTGTCTCTGCTTGCTTACTTGGATGCTGCTCCCTGTAGTATTCCAGGAATACTTGGATTTTTAATCCTTTATCTCTTTCCTCTCATCTTTTTCTGGATGGTACCCTAGCTGAGAAACAGATGCCAGACCTCTTGAGTCTTCACATTCTCAGGAAGAGCCATCTGTATTTAGTCATGTCCTTCCAGATGCAATCCTATTTTTCCATATCCGCCAGCAGCTAGTCGATGTCAGCTTTGAACACGTTCTTAGATACACTTGGAAGACCACAGTGGATATTCTATGAATCTAATAATCCTCCAGGTCCCCCAAGTATGGCCATGCTCTAACCTTAGCACTCAGAGTTGTTTTGCCTTACTAAGGTATTTTGAAAGGTTAACAGAGGTAAAGCTGATTTCATCACGGTATTAGGAACTGAGGACTTTTCCAACTGCTGAGCAAAAGAAGAAATGCAAAGAAAAGAGAGGGGTCTGAGTGATGTCTTGCCGTGTTTCCGGCCTTGAGCCCAGGATTGCAGGTTGCCTCTGGATGCTAGAAAAGGCAAGAAATGGGTTCTCTTCCTGAGGTCTGCAGAAAGAATCACTGCTGTGAGGACACTTTCGCTATTGCTCACAAGATCATGTTGAACTTCTGACAACAGAATTGCCAAATGATAACTCATGCTAGAATGGGATCCATATCATTTTTGTTATACTGATTTCTAAGTCAGTTTTTATTATTGAAAGAAAAATTTGGATGTAGGAGAAAGTTTTGAAGGAAAAATTGTCAATAACAACGAAGAACTTTCATTAATACTGATTTTAATTGATGAAGTAAAGATTAAGTTACTAAGTGTCATAAGTTTGAAAAGACACTAGAGATATTCATTTATCAAGATCATTTTACCTGGCACAAAAACTGTAGGTTTAATCTATTTTTAGTTTTGCACTAACATGCTTTTCTAGACCCATGACTGACACATTCCCATTACCACTAACCTACCACACTATGCCCTATAAACAGGCGGGATGTTTGACTGAATTGATCACGTGACATACAGATACGTCCTCTCTGAGATTTTGGAGCAAGAAAGATAAATTTTTCTTATGGGAAAATAGTGAAATGATGAGTTAACTCCAACATTAAAAAAAAAAACCCTCAAGCCAGGCAGTGGTGGCACACACCTTTAATACCAGCACTCAGGAGGCAGAGGAAGCAGATCTCTGTGAGTTCGAGGTCAGCCTAGCTTACAAAATGAGTTCCAGGTCAGCCAGAGCTATTACATATTCAATTCTCCCCGCAAAGTAAATAATAAATAAAACAAAACTTTTCATAGTAACAATGTCTCGGGGTTTCTATTGCTGGGAAGAGACACCATGACCATGGTAACTCTTTTATTTTAACTTCTTCTTTACTACTCTCTGTCTTTCACAGCATCTATCTTGATCCTATTCATTTACCTATCCCTTTGTATGCTGTCTTCTGCCTCTGCACCCCCTCACCAAAAATAAAATATAAAAGAAAAAATATTTTAAAAATCTCATCAAGAAGTTGCAGTGTGACACAGTGAGTCGTGCAGTAAACACCTTTGTCCACGCATCTTTATTAGCAAGTGCTCATTGGTGGTCTGGCTCAAGGCCTCTGCTTTCTGCTACACTATTAATGCTGGGCCCTCACTAGGACTCTTCTAGGATATCCTGTTATTGCCCTGTGTTGTGGAGATCCTGCAGCTTAGGGTCTGTGGCTCAGGTCCCTTTATGTGCTCCGGCAGATCTTAGATGGGGTGGATGTTGGGATGAGCCAAGGCATAACCCTGATTCTGGGCTTGGACAACTGTGGAGTTGGTCTGCCAGTCAGTTCTCCCCTGTCTTCACCACCAGGGTGAGCTCTCCAGCATTGTTCCAGCTAATTCACCCTTGCAGCAATGAGCAAGGGGTGGGGTCAGTTCTGCTTTCAGGCCCTCAGGATCTGCTCTTCCCCCATCCACACCAATAGAACCAACCCTCCTACTCTTAGGACCCGGGACCAGCTTCTCTGCCTGTCTCAGGAACTGATGGCTGGGAGGTGGGGAGAGGACATCTCTCATCTGCCCATTCTACCATATGTCAAATGAATAATGGGAACAGCTCTCTCTTGCTTATAACATCAGAGATGGGTCACCATCACCTCTGACTAGCAGTCAGCTCTGCTGTTCTGCCTAGGCGACAGGCAGGGCCCAGTTCCCGAGTGCTGTAGCTGGTAAGGGGGAAGGGGTACAGGGTAAGGGAAGCATCTCTCACCCTCTCACACCACCATATGAAAGATGAGTAGTGAGACAGTTCTCCCATACTTACAGCTTTGGGGTTGGTTCACCCACACTTCCAACAACAAGGCCAGCTTTGTTGTGTTACCCAGGTGAGGTGCAGGGTCTGCTCTCCCAAGTGTTGCAGCTTATGGAGTTTAGGGATAGTGTTCCCACTGTTGTGACCTCAGGGTCAGTTCTCATCCCTCCTTAGGCATGGGGGGGGGCAGCTCCCTCCACCCATGTTACCACAGGACAGATGAGTGATTGGGACATCTCTCCTTGCTCACACTTCAGGGCTGGCTCTATTGTGCTGCCCTGGCAAGGTACAGGGGCTGCTCTCCCATCTTCTCGGGCACTGATGATGGTGGGGACAACTCTCCCCACCCACACAGAGCAACTCTTATAAAGGAGAACATTTAATAAGAGATGGCTTGGCTATAGTTCAGAGGTTCAGTTCATTATCATCATGGTGGAACATGCCAGGGTGCAGGAAGAGATGGTGCTGGAGAGGTAGCTGAGAGTACTATATCTTGCAGACAACAGGAAGTGATCTGAGACAGCAGAGCCCACCTCCACAGTGACACACCTCCTCCAACAAGGCCACACCACCTAATAGTGCCACTCTCTTTGGGTTTATGGGGGCATTACATTCAAACTACCACAGGCACGTAAGGTCCTTCCCATGGTCAAGTCCACACTCGCTGCTACTGAAAACAAACACTGCTTCCATTAGCCTTCCCCAGGTGAAGACATTCTACACAACCATGACTTGACACTCCTCATATTTGCTAGGAAATTAGTAGTTTGAAGATTAACTTTTATTTTAGGTTGAAGCACTGATACAGAAACAGATAATGTGTGAGTTTTTTTTTAATTTTTTGTTTTTAATCTTAATGTGGACAATATCTTGCTGTTCATTGGTACAAAACAGCCCTGTCCTGGGTATACAAGTCTGTAACATCATTCACTATAGTGAATTTACTTCATGAGACAGCATAGAAGAATAGGACTAACTAAGACATTTTAATAAGAAAATGCTTGGGGATGAACAGAATCACAAAGTTGATGAACCTTTGCCATTTGTACGTCCAAACATGAACGTGTGCCACGTACATGTAGCTCATGCATGTGAATTTCACTAAGTGATCATCCTAAACATAGCTACTGTGTGTGTGCATGCGTGCACACATGTGTAAGGTGTGTGAAAGGTACCTGCTATTCCTAAAGGGCTGCTCAGGCAACATCTGAAAGTACCCCAGAGGTTGGTTTGGTCAGGGATCAGAGATGAGCTTTAAGGCAATCTTCCAAGTGAATGTAAACATCTCTGAAGCGGCCTTTCCAGTTAAGTATGGCTGTGAAGATTCTGTACTGTATAGTGCTGTCAGACAATTTTAGTAGCACATTATCATATTGTCATTGTAAAAAATAGCTATAAAACTCCGCCATTATAAAAGTGTCTGGGGTGCTTTAGCTCATAGACATACAGCAGGCACTTCCTGTTGACCTTTTCATACATGCTAAATACAGTCTCCTGGGCATGTTCTCCTCCAATGGCTGTACCTAGAACTGGGTTCCTAATAAGGTTTGTTCTAAATACTATGTTCACATATTGAGAAATAATGATTTGCTTACAAGTTGTCTGATTTTGTTCTGAGTTTAGAATTTTTCCCCTTAGGTGAAGTTCTACAGATGCATTAAAAATAAATAGTGCTACCTTTAGAACCTTTTCCTGCCTGCTGACGCGTGGTTCTCAGAGCATGTGAACTACACTGGCTACACTATAGAACAGACACAGGCCATCACATGAGTCTCCTTTCAGAGACCAGCTTCATTTAATCTCCTTCTTAGCCTTGTAGCTGGCAGAGACCACCAGGTAGTTATCTGGATTCATGTCCTTGAGGGTTGGGGATTTGCTCTGGACAGGGGACGTCTTGCCATCCACACGAGAGATCTGCAGCATGCGACAGGGGTCATGCTTGAGCAGATAGCCTGCGAAGGTCTCCCAGCCTCCGCCCACACGGACCATCACATGCTTGTTATGCAGCATCTGGAAGGAAAGACCAGAAAGCAGGTCAGGTTTTGAGAGTTTGCACCAGATCTCACAGCAAGTTCAGGTCTAGTAGACACAGCATGGCTTGCCTTACTCCCCTGACCCTTGTTTATCCAAGTGGCACACAATGTCTGCTTGGGACAAGGCTTGTGAAGGAAACCTTGTGTGCAGATGAATCTTGGGAAAACATCTGGCATCTAACTTTTGGTGTGTCACGGAGCATCTATGTATACTTCTCTGAAGGATGCATGTGAGAGCTTCCCTGAGATGCACAGTGGACCACTAACACGCCTCACTGCCTCCGCTCACATCAGTGGTCCATCCTTCCCACTGGCTCATTTTCCTCTCAGCCAGAGCTGAAGAGACCATGGAAGTCTCTGGTATTGAGTCAATGGTAATAAATGATATTAAAAGCCACACATAATTGCTGCAAAACACAAATGAAATGCACTCAGAAAAAAATAAGATGTGTTCACGTCATTGAGACTTTCGGGGAGTGATATATTCATTTTTCTGTGACACCAGTCTTCTCAGAATACACCTATTAAAACAAAAATAAGTACACACACACAAACCCACCCCCTAAAAAATAACAAAAGCAAAATAGTAAAGACAGTAGCAGAAACTTACCTCCAGGCAGGGAGCCATCCAGAGCTCCAGCCTCTACCTCGCCAGTGCTACACTCACGGCACACTGCCACCACAACTGGGGACACGGTACTGGAAACTGAACCCAGGGCATTTTGCATGCTAGGCAACTCAAACTGCATCCCCAGACCAAGTGAACTTTTAGCTCTTGGAGAAAGTGAGAAGCCTCCTTCAGCCTGGAGTCTTCTCATCACGAAAACACTCTGGAGGTCTTACAAGCCATCCGCAGAAGCTTGCAAACTAGAAGTATGGGATACAGTCTACTGAGTGTGAAGACCACATCACACAGGGAATAGTTGTCCTCTTCTGCAGCCTATGAACGGTGAGCTGAGCACAGTTTTGTTGCCACAGCCAACCGCTCAGGATTGCCAGGAAATACTCTTGCAATTCCTCTAGGTTCACCCTTCTGACTTGGCCAATGGAGACTATCAGAGCTAACTACTTCCGCGAGGAACCCAGGGTCCTCAGCCTCCTTTCAGCAGAGGAAGGCGGTATCAATGACATCATAACTGAAGCAGTCAATCAGGTCTGGCCAGGTTCTAAAAATATTGATTAATGACTGTGAGAATTTGGGGGATGGGCATGTATATATTTCCTCAGTTTGAAATCTGACCCTGCATTCCTGTTTATCTTGATCTTTTTTTTTTTATTGCATTCTGAAGGCAGTTGCGGGAAAAGTGATTCCACAGACTGACTGGCCAGCCTCTTTGCTCCTGAGCCACGAAAGGAAACGGTGAGCAGATGCTTCCGTGTATGCCTCCATTTTAACTAGCTTACCACAAAATTATAAAAGGATTCTTCCCTTTTAGAAAACAGATAAGACTAACTGCCCACTGAATATTTTTACGGATCTATGTCAGGAACATGACACTGCGAGTATTGTTAACCCAGGGGTCAGTAGCATGGTTTTCTTTCTTAAAAAGTATTACAGTTGCTTTTATACTTTTTCTTTTCATTTCTCAGAACTGGGAAATGCTTCTTTTTTGATTGGAAACTGTGTGTGTGTGCACATGTGCATGTTTCTCTTCTGCACGACTTAAGCTATAACACAAGTAACAACAACAAAAGGAGCGCACGAGCAAACAGCAGCAGCTCTGACAGCTTCCTTGCACAAGTTCTTATCAGAGCTCTGAGCACTGCTGAGCCTTGACACACATTTTATCCTGCATACTTCATACTTCAGAGAATACTGACTCCACACTGAAGTGGGGGGGGGGGGGCGCTTGGGTGCATTATCTCTCTCACGCCTCCGTTTCACCACACCTGGGAGTTAGAGGATTTCTCACACTATTAGGTTTCCATGGAAATCTCCACCATCACATACTGAGATAAGAGGCTCAGGACTGTCTTAAGGGAAGCATTCTTACATTTAGACCTTATAGTCATGTGCTAAGAAGTGTGTGGTCAATCTTGGACTTTCAAAAATGGATTAATGTATTACATTCACAGTGCCGGATAGGTGGTTACAGAGATTTGAATCCCATGCCCCTTTAAGTGTGTGATCCTGAACAAAACCCCTATGATTCAAATTAAGAGCAAATTAATCTGCTATGAGCCCAATTACTCCAAACTTGTTCCTCCTGGGAACTCTGGCCTACTCCTTCAATGGATTAATCATATAATCATATAATTGTTGGGAGGTGATAAAATACAGGAGATGGGCCTTTTAGAAGAGCTGGGCCACTAGGAGCCCCTCCCATATTCCCTCTCTGCTTCTGTCCACCATGAAGCGAGCAGTCCACACACTCCTCCCGCCATCGTGCTCTGCCTGACTAGGGCCCAGTTCAAGAGACACAAGGACTACTCACCGGAACATCACAGGCTCTGAGCTAGAAGAAGCTCCTTCTATAGTGCTTCTCTCTGCTGTTGGCTTGTGTGACAGAGGGCAGCTGACATGCATGTTCCCGTCACCCGATTTACACAGTCTTACAGCACCGCCAATAGCACACTCTCGCAGGCTTTACCCACTTTGTTTAAATATTGATGCTGTTAGCAGAATGCCTTCCTCTTTATAGATAGGAAAGCTGAGGCTGTTAGAAGGCAGGCCACTAGTGTAAGGTCATAGACGGGGGAGCAGCAGCAGAAGCAGGAGCCCTTTATCAACACATTCACTGGTCCTGCAGTCATGCCGTCTAGTCACTGGCCACTGGGAGGTAGTAAGCCATCACCAGCATCATCGATCTCAGCACAGCGATAAGCAGTTTGAGCAGATTAGCTGAGCCCCCTTAAAATAATCTAGAGAGACACCCAATAAAGTAAGTTTAATTACAGAAGACTGTGTGGCTATGGTTCTAATTTTTTATGCAAACTTTATTCTGAACCAAGTGTCTCACGTGTGGTGACAGGATGAAACACATTCACAGCCCCATGTGTTCATGCCTGTGCCCTTCCAAGGGGCCCAGTGGAGAAAGGAGGCTTCTCCCTCTCACTGCCCAGCCTGGAGAGGCAGGCCAGCAACAATCGCATTATGTGTAGGTACCAAGAGTTTCAGCAACGAGAAAGGCTCTTCTCCCTCTTCTCAAAGACACTAATTAGTACTTAGAAATAGAAGCAGACCAACTCACTTGTCATTTAAAAGGGAAAGTCTATATTTATGTAGATCACAGATAATGACGTGTTTTACTAAGTGACAAAACCAATCACACAAAACATCTAGAAAAGTATGGGGGTTAACTAGTAACGCACTTGTGCTTCAAGGTGACCAGGCTGTGTGCAGCTATGCCGCATTTCATAAAAAACAAAATCGCCTCAGAAAAAAATGAACAATACCAAGTGGGAAACACTTTTCCATGAGCAAAATTTAACACTAAGGGCTTCATGCCCTTATTTGATAGATTTGTTTAGTGACATCTCTGGCAGAGGTCTGCATGAGTGACCATGTCTGCCCCAGTCCCAAATCCCTATGCAATGCTTCAGGTGCCTTCTCCTCTTGGGGTTAACTGCCAAACTGGCGCCTACCAACATCCCCAGCAGAGGGAGGGCAGCTCTTTTCCCCATCTGCCTTCTCTCAGGTTTGCTCTCACTAGTCCACACGCTGCCCCAGAGGCATGGGAGACTTCCTAGCAGGAGCATGTCCGCCTTACTACTGCTCCTGAATCTCTGAGAGTGGCTCTTCATTGTCTCTGTGGGGCCACCTGAGGCCAGCCCTCATCCTCCTTAGAGCAGCAGGCTTGCAGCCAGGCAGGGATGGAGTGGCATCCACAGGGTGGCAGAGGCTTGCACGGGAGTCGCCGAAGGGGCCAGCTGCCAGTTCTCTCATCCTTTCTCACTGCGTCAGATTACCACGAGCACAGCAAGTCAGTGGTCTTACTTGTCTTTGCTAGAGCTTAAACTACAAATTTCCTATATTATTTTGAGATATTCAAAATTTCACACCCCTTTCTACATATACATAAGTGCTCCACATTTTCAATGTGGAAATAAATGAGAAATAAAGTCCATTCCTTCCTTAGACCATTGTCTGAGTACTCAGCAGAGCCCTTGGGACTCTTCACAGTATTAGGCACACAATGCTTATCAAATGCATTTTAAATGCGTATTGAGTGAACAGTGAATTAAACAATTATGTATTAACTAATAATGAATTAACCAATTAATCAATGAATTAACAAGGTTAATGCTTTATACTGCTCCATCCAAGTATCACTCTGCCTGTGTGAAATATACCTGTATTAGTCATGGAATAATGGGGAGGGAAAATGAAACGATTGGTGTCCTTTTAGAAAGTCTCGGTGTGTAGAGAGCGTCCCTGAGAGAAAGACAAGGCAGACAGGGTGAGAAGGAAGACTCTTGACTGGGTGCAGAGAGAAGGAAGTTGCTGTTCTTTGGGATGATTCTTCATGAATCCTCCTTACCTCTAACACACTTTTTAAATGACAAAAAGTAGTAATAACTTGTTCATCAAGGTTTCCTACTCATGCCCTCTATTATACTTGGGGGAGCAAGTGACTTTTAGCCTGGGTCACCAGCCCCTCTGTGGCCCCCATTAAGCCTTTCTCCTCTTAATGGATCCAGAGGCTCAGTTTCAACACTGTCTGTTACCTGCTCTCCACTGCAGTGGGAGGCAACTGCTCGACAGGACTGCCTACATTTAGATCCTGATGTGTCAAATGCTTCCGGACACCTAGTCAGCCCCATCTCCATGTGTTTTTACAAGGCATCATAACGTGAACACAAATATTTTTTTTTAGAAGGCAGTCATCTGTTCTCCAGAGAAGAACATTCCAGTAATTTATAGGCCTGCAGGCTTGATCATAGTTTCCTATCACGCTAAAATGGCATATGTTACAATGGGACAACTGGGAATTCAGCTGTCTGCCTCAGTCCCCTGACACATTTAGGGACAAGACA